GAGCAGAGCTAAACTGACAAAGATGTAGCATGGGCGACGCCATGCAGACATGTCTACACAGGCACAGCCACGGTGGTGGCCAGATCATCTAAGCAATACACTAAAGAACCCCGTCAAACACATCAGCGAACATGGTGGATGCTTCTACTTTGCCCTGCTCCGACCCACCTCACATCTGTGGCTCCACAAATATGTTTACAACACAACGGGCCAAACTAAATGCGAGTGCGGTGTGTCTTCCTAACCGGTAGTTCCAGAACTAATTCTCACCCCAAATAAGAAACCATACGGAGAGGACGAGATGAAATCCCGTAGGTAGCCTAGGTAAATTCAGGTCGTTCTCTCACTAAACACAAACCGTGACCCGTAGTGAAATTCAGCAGACGTCTGGGATGATTGAACAGCCCGCTTTAGGGGTATCACCATTTGCCCCTTGCGGGGCAGTGGGCCAGGAAAGGTGCCCCAGACACAGGCCGGGTACTCACATCGCCAGCAGACTGACCGTGGATTGTGGACGCAAAACATGCGGTCTAAACAATATACAACCCCCCCCCCCCCATCTCCATCCACGCGCCTCCGTGCTGAACCGACAGAAAACTGCAACACCCGCCATATGCAAATACCTTCAAGAGTATCCAGAGCTAACGACCACGGATGACTGAGCGGTAAACACCACAACGGAGTGTGAACCAAACCACCTCCGGCTGCTCCGACTCTACCCTGGAAACCAGCACGGAAAAGACAGTGATCATGCACCGACCAGCGTCAAATTCTAACTATAATGAAGCCCGTATCAAGGTCAATGAAACTCGCCTCATTGGCTTGCCCTGAGAGTACAATGTCAGACGGCACCAAGATGGACAGTGAGATCGCGGGTTGAATAACCAAGGTCGGCCAGAGATCCGGTCGGATATTGCACTCCATCTGGAACCGCCGCACTACCTTAATCAACCAACCGAATAACTGCCACCAAGGCAACGTGGGAGGCACGCAAGACTCACGTGCTACCAAAATTTCCATTCGCCATCGTGCTTACAATGTCAACGGACATTCTGAGCAAGGACCGGCCCCGTTGGATATCTCCAGACCCAGTAGAATACCAATACGACTGGCCTGCCCCTCATCTTGCAACACGCCACCACTAGAAGGACCTATGAGGACACTACTACCGGCCTACAAAACGTTACTGCCCTTGAGGGTCCGATCCCAGCCTGTCCCTAGTGCTACCATACTTTATTGGGGGTTTCAAATCCACCACACTCGTCTCACCAACCCACTGCCTAAACACATTCGATCACCGCATGGACCTGTTCGGCCATGGGCGCCTCCATGAACATCTTTGGGAATAAACCGCGACCGAGTTCACGTCACTACACTTCACCCTACCCGCTCGCACATCCCCAGGCCACCTATGTACCTACCCCACTACACTGACATACCCGCCGCCCACATACCAACATGGGGCAAGCATGAAGCCAACTTTGCCATCGCCGATGTGGCGGACGTAATGCCATAAGTCAGAACACGCATCTATCACGTAAATGAGAGGCATAGCCTTTGGTGTGTCCTGGCAAACGAAACGGAAGCTAGGTTGTTTGTGGAGTAAGTAGACAGACTGTCTAATTCCGTAGGCCCAACCCCATTACTGGCCGACGAACAGGCAGGGACAGCTCACTGGCACACAGGAGAGTGAAGTCGACACTGGTACTCCATCTCTACCACGAATTAGCGTCTTTCTCGTAACAAAACTGACGCGCTAGCGGTTATAGCTTACGAGGCTGCCAGCTGACGGGATAGCTCGGTCTGCACTGGAGCACTGTGGAATGACTGGAGGGCTGAGTCCAGCCATAATGGCTTCCCGATGCAGTCTTTGCGACACCCTTACTGATGTGCGGACGGCTCACCCTTACTGTACCCTTGTACCGGAACGTGCAGACAGGCCGTTTAGCCTTGCAAGTCGCTGCACCCATGCCCACCTCAGGCCTCGGCACTGTCTTGTTATCGGAGCCCGGTCGATGCGGGTGTGGTACACTTCGAATGTGCGTCTCACTATATACCAACTCACCCTCTCGCGCCCATCCCGTGGGGCACGCGGTGGACGTCGTTGTCCGTAAAGACCAAATGTCCACGCCCCAGACCTGGGTCCCTGCAAGTGCAATTCCCCAAATCGCTCTACCTGGCCGGAGAGCACGCGTCACCTTCCATACAAGGTTGGACCTTGTGCCCCTCATATTTAGCCACACCATTGACCTCTTTATCGAAGGGACTGCATGCACTTCTGACAGCGCAGATCTCCCACCTAGGCACCGCTCGGCATACTTGAACTCGATGGGAACTTTGCCCCGTGCCCAGTTACAGTAACTTACAGGACTTGTTGTCGGATAAGTGGGTAAAAGGCAAAGTGGAGGCGACATTGTAACCCGAAACGATGTTGCCCGAAAAACTTCCGTATAATTACGAAGGTGTATAATGGCCCAAAGGGATTGCTAGATCGTGGGACGGATAGCACTTCGATTAGTCTTCCTTTACCACCGCGAGTGCTGGGTTATGAAGTATAAAAGGGGCGAAAAAGGATGAGGGCGACCAGCGCCTGCAGATGACTCCTCGAATAAAACACAGGCCCTAGCCCAAGCGAAAGCTCGCGCGAGATGCGACGCTGCTAGGGCCATTTCGTGCACGCAAAAGATGAAGCAGACCGGATATGCTCTACGACATCTGTCCCCATGGAAAGTGGCAGAAGCCAGCTCATAAACGGTTCGGCATCGTTCGCCAGAACGGTCGTGAACTTCAACTCCGTCCTTGGAGAGGGGTGAACCGACACCAAACAGATGGCACCATACGGAGGCCGGGTGGAGTATTATAACGCAAACACCAAGTACCCGTCTACTAGCTATTGACAGTCCGATAGCGTGCGCTTACGTACGGTTGCACACATGTAGCCCAATACAGGCGAACGCCGTCCGGCTACTTGCGCCAGTAAAGCCAACACTAGGCACTTTGCCCTTATGAATGTAGTGGCCAGGACAAGCCCGTTATCCAGCAACAACCAGAAAGGCGTATTTGCACCTAGTGCCGCTATGCTCGCGCCTGGTCTGGTCAACCCTCGATGATGTCGTAGACAGTACCCCTTCGTGCGTGACAAAAGAGTTAGGAGACTCAACCAACTCCCCCCTCTGGTGGCTCAGGCTCCCGAGGGCACGTGGACCACCGTGTCCCGACGGATTCTGCTAGGCTAGGATGCGCGCTGACCTTTTCAACGCATCCATGTGGGCAGCGACACCGGACCCATGGGGGGGATGAAGAGTGTGCCCAAAACTACCTCAGCCTTGCCAGGTAGCCTCAAAATATAATTGCGAAAAGTCCGGAGCGCCTCATTTAGGTCGAAGTTAGTGTATATTACTCTAAAAGTGGTCTTCAGGCAACGGCAGCCAGGCGTCCCAGGTCCCCACTCGTCCTCTGTGAGCACAGCCTATCGCTTATGACCGGGATGAACTAATGGGACGGACGCCCGGTATACGCGGGTGTCTGTGGAGACGGACACGCCGTTAAAAACCTGCGGAGGCACAAATCCAGGAATGTCGTTCTTAATATTCATTCGGCAGCAATTTCGTTCCGAGGGACTTGAAACCACTAACTTGTTCAGGCTGACAGTTGTCCATCCCCAGCGATGCCTTCTGGTCAAAAAATAAGACGCTGTGAAAATAGTCCGATTGACCTCGAGGTCGCCGCGAAACAAATCTGATAGCAAGGACCTTGGAAATCAGGACTGCAATACTGAATTGTTTCCAATAACACCACCACCGGGAACTATCGTCTGTGGGTGACACCAATACGCCGGACAGGCATCGTTTGTGGAAGGACGGCCGGCATGTCGTTCGAAACTGTTTGGCTGATGCCAGCGATCGAAACCCATCATATCCTCTTCAGCCCAAGGTTGACTTGAGCAATCCCCATTCGACACTGATTAGGCACGGCTACTATCGCCCCGTGGCACTGTAACAATAACTGGGACCTGCGACCCGAAGGTACACCGCACCACCTGGTAAAATCCAATCCCACACTGTTACGGCAGTTGAATGGGGCATCACATCCTGTTCGTAAGTGGCTGTTATGCACAATCCCAGGTCACGGGAGAAAGTCGACATGAGGCTTTTGGATGTGTACAGGCTCGAAGCGGTGGTAAATAAAAGGTGAACAGGTAAAGTTTGATTGATGGTGCCTAAAGAACAAAACCGCCACAATAAAAGACGTAGTGCAGAGAACCGACTGTCATGGAACGCTCGAGAGCACGTCCACGCTTGTGACATTAACTTTGACTAATTAAGCCAGCACTAGCGGTTCAGTTTTGGCGGCAACGCAAGCTCCGGCCCAACGCTTGAGTTGTCTTGGAGACTGCCCATTATGTCGGGCAAATTCCCCACTGAAAGCCTCTCCGACGCTGATGTCTACGTTAGCGGCGCGAAACAACTCGAGGCCCTCGGCTGGAGGTCAATGAGAGGTGTAACGGTCAGGAGCGCTAACCCGCGCTCCCTGAGCAATGTAAAGTCTGAGGCCCTGTGATAATATATCAGGCGTTGCCAAGCCTAGAAGGAGTCTGAGAAACAGCTATTCAAACGCGCTCTGAAGGGCATTGCAGTAGATCATTTCTGTGTGATCCGAGATGGGCCAGCTGGAAAGTCAAGCAACTCGAACATGGGGCTCGGTTGGCGCTAGGGACATCATGCGACAGGGCGGATCGAGGCACACTTACTTAAGAATGTGTTGGAATATGAGAGTGACCAATCGCCGAAACGTTTTTACCTACGAGTAACGGCATTTAGGTGGGAAATAAATAATGGGGGGAAGGATCGAACTGGCTTCGATGCTTTTCTGGGCATCTCTTGTGTTCGAAGGACCATAAAAAGCGAAACTCCGAGCAAATGGGGATCGTGAGCCATAACTGTAGACAAATATGAAGATGTAAAATAGGCACTTCCGGACGAAATATATTTTACATCGTATCACTGAGACTTCTCGATTGAGAGGGGACCGGTGGGGAGAACCTCATCTTTAACATCCTGAATAGTAACGCTATCTGGAAGTGGCTTCTTAGGGCCAGTCGCTCCGCTGGGATCGTAGTTCAACATTATCTTCACTCTAATGCCAAGAATTCCTGAAACGAGTAAGACATCACGAATGGGACAAACCCTGGGGTAGGCGAACATGCCGTACGGCTTTGTCAATGTAGTAATTAATTGGATCGCCCGAGTGAAGCATAAGCCCATCGCAGAATTTCATTGACTTCGCCCGCTGGCCCTTGATCTTTCCTGAGACGACAACTTCGGCACCCCGAGCACCATTCTCCATTATGAAACGCAGGACACCATAGCAGGCTCTGAAACATATGATGGCAACTTTACAACTTACTTCCTGACCGGGAGACCCCCAGTGAGCTTGTATCGGAGTGACTCCGCCTGGGTTGTGGCACTGAGACTCCTAGCCATCATCTTTTCCAAGAAAACCTCAATGTTCTTGTTTGATCGGGTCCTTTTCTTTATTAGAGAGATCAGCTCGCGGATACGGCGAGTTTGGTCGCCAAGAACACTTTGAACCCTTGTGGCCGAGATGATAATCTCGGTTCTGCGTTCATTTGACCGGACGCGAACGCCACTGTAACCGTCCTCGGCCAATTCCCGTCTCAGAAATTCGTCCACTTCCGCTTTGAACACACCAGCTTGAACAAACTTAAAATTTTTTTTCGATTAATTTAACGAAAAATGTGGCATGCAACGTGGCGATAAATTAAAAAACACACCTTTCGCTTCAGTGACATACGGCCTGCGTTCGCCATCTTCAGGGCACGAGTCAATAGTAAGAAGCGCGCTTTCTTATTTGGGGTGCTTTTAACAAATTAGGTTGAAGTTGACTTGAGAAATCGAAAGTTATTTCCAAAGCCACAAGTTCGACTTTAGGTATACAAGCACCTAAATGATATCTCGTCTTTCAGCGTGTGTTACCAGGGGAGTACACTCGAAGTAAGCACTGGAATGCCTAGAAGAAATCTAGAAAAAAGTTAGAGAGGGGACAGCAAGCAGAGCAAAACGCGAATGCTCCATAGCAGAGGAGGGTATTTCGGGTTGAGGAAGACGACAATTGCCTAGTTGTTTGAACATTCCCGTTTTTGTCTATGTCGGTTGCAAGTGTTTGCGCTTACTGTTTTCCGTACACCTTTCAATGTTTGTGTTCATTGCTGTACTAAACACCTTGTATGTACTCGCAGTTGAATTTGCTAAAAATGCCCAGCACCACAAGTCTCATTCTTGGTCTGTGTGCTTTGTTATTTCATTAGTACCTCCTGTTGGCTGTCAGTTCTACAGAGTTCGCAGTTTGATTTTTGTGGTTTCTCTGTACTTTTCCTCCTTCACTCTTCGCATGCAGAACGAAGCCTGTCCCAGTTACACTTAAAGGACTTAAACTTAAAGGACTTACTGTGTGATCAAAGCTGGTAACGATAGAAAAACAGACCGCTGGGATGTCAGTTATCTTCTTATCAAAACATCCTCAACCACGAAAGGTAAGGGCGTATTCGCTACAGATCGTATGACCAGTGAGTACACACACTCTTCCTGCTACACACAGGCCCTACCGTTTGATGTTAATGTTGATACCGAGAAGCCTTTAGATCGCACTCCGGGAGATAATCTATGCCTACAGTTAAAAAATGCCCGAATTAAACGCACAGCAAAGTCCGCCACAAAGATACTGACAGACCTTTCCACTCGAGCGGAGTATAGAGGTGCCATTCAGGCATTCCCTTCTTGTCGGCCGTCACGCGGGTGATGTAACGATTAATGATAACTGGCTTGAAGCAAGTGTAAGCCATGTTCGACGAGAACGCTCATCTGGATGAAGTAGTCAATCGCTCTGAAAGAATTATAGAATACTCTGCCGGCAGACTGGCATGCTTAGCTTTCCAATGGCCAGTGTATTCTTCGGGTTCCATGACCAACATATTTTCCAATACTAAGTATCAAGGTGTTCTCAATTTAGAGTATGAAACATCTCGCCCACCGTGGTCATTTTGCTATTGCTCTTGTAGACATGCAACGTTGTAATCCGGACTTTTAAGAGCAATGCCTGAATCCCATCATTCCTAATTAAAGAAGTGAAGTACACAGCAGTCAAACGAGAAATGGACATTCGCCCGGAGAGGTACATTTCCATTCTGACATTTCGGGTAACAATTTAGACTGGAAAGTCCTGTTCGAAGCTCCAATGATGCGGCTATTTTGCCTGCTTGACAGGCCGCCAATATCGACTGTGAGACTGTCAGATTCACGTTTTGCCGTGGCCTGTGTCTCATCATTCGCTGACCGTGGCGATAATTAGTGGCCCTGGTTGTCGCATGCCAGCACCGTCCCCTGTCAAGAATGTGCGTAAAACCAGGTAGGGAGAAGGCCATTGGTTAATTTATTGAGCAGCCTACAGACATCCCAGTTTTCTCCACCAGCCTTAGGGTGTGTTATTACTTCAGCTCACAATTTCAACGGCATCGAATCTAAAAATGTATCATAGAACGGCGCAAAGCGTTTTCTAATACAATGTACAGGGTGATTCCGCCGCCTCTTTGCATTACATCTAAGCGCTCTATCTACTTTGCTTCCAAATATGCCTTCCTTTGGAATAATCTTCCGCCAGAAATTAGGTCATCGCCTAAGTTACTGGTATTCAAGCTGAAATTACGCAAACACCTACACCGGAAAGTTTAAAGGCTCTCTTAACGGTCTCATTCCCGAACACTCGGCTTCTTGACTTCAAGAAGGGTCCTCCTGGGATTAAATGGTAGATCAACTGGTAACCCTCAATTATATCTTTACAGTCCCCAGTTTGGAATTAGTTTCTAAATCCATTGCCATCACTCCTCCGCCACAGCGAGGATTTTCGCGGTTCTTGATGTCCTCTCCGTCATTTCGACCTCATGCGGTCTGTCGACGCTCACGGCGGAACCCTCAGTATTCGCTGTCTACTAGTAGCTTGATCGTACCTCCCTTGCCCACTCCTCGGCTGGCCTCGAAGCATGCTGTGGCCGATCGCGTCTGGGTTCCTCTCGTCTGGCTTCTTTGACGCGAATAATCTCATGAGGCGTATCAATCCTGCCCTGATGATGTCCGTTCTGAATCCCGTATACAATACCACATGCATGCCAGTCCTGTCCGGCCCGCGTACGTACCCCTGAAGGCTGACATTTATTGCTGCCCTGACGATGTCCGATTATAATGCGTTATATACCGCCACATACAGGCCAGTCCTGCCCGCATTTTTCTGTTATCATTATTAGTGAGGGTTTTTTCTCCTGTAAAAGTAATCCATTCACATTTAAATTTTTAAGTGGAGTTTTTTAACCGCTTGCTAATAATTTTTCTTAGCGGACTACAAATTTAGAAACTATGAATTGCATTTTGTACAGATTCTGCCTACCTAATCTAAAATTCTATGTAAATTTATTTTTACTTGCTTTGACGGGACCCCACGGGTCTTTAATAAAAAATTATTATCCTCATTCCCCACTAAGTACACGGCTGTGTCAGACGTTTGGTCTCATCACGTCCATTTTGGTTTAACTCGCCTTCACGTGGTCGATAACATATAAAATGATTTCTCGAAGAGATTGTAAGCATTTTTAGCCATTCTTTTTGATAAAAATGCTTTAAGTGCATATCGTTTAACGTTTTATAGACTGTGCCTGCTGATTGCTCACCACATTCCGCAATTCATATTTTGTGCATTCTAGCTGTTTTCAACGGTGTACATATTTTCATCGTTAAGCTTCCGTCAAAATTCGATAAGCAGATTTGTCAGAAGTTCAGACCACTTAAGGCTTAATTCGAGATAAGACGAGAGCAAAAGTCACAGGTCGACTAAAACCCCCGGCCTCTGTACCCAGGCGTAGATTAAGCGAACCAGACTTCGAAAGCATTAATAAATAAAATAAATAAATAATTTTTATTAAAGACCCATCGGGGTCCCACCAAAGCATTCGTCACTCGTTGTTACTGATAGGCAGCTTGACCTGCCTGCGTCACACAACGGTAACAATTCTACACTACAGTTAGGTAATATTCCCTCGATCCTGGAAAAATTGTTTAACGCGAACATTTCCGACGTTTCCCCTCAAAAATGAAACGTCTTGATTCAGTCATTAACTTGGTTGCCAGCGAATTATGTGATATACAAAAAGCACTTACGGCTTCTCAGTGAATAAGGCCCCTCGGTTCTCACGGCCAGTTGGCGTTGCGTTCGATTTCCTGTGCTCGTGTGGACTCAACTATAAAATAGCGGATGCTACACGCCCATCATCCCGTAGCAAAAATCCGTCTAATGTCAATTTATTTGTTCAGTTTATTTGGTAAGGATAATAGGCAAAGCCTTTGAAAACCCTATTGACTGCATGTCGAGCAATGAAAATAATCGCTATTAAAACAGCATTTGATTCATTTTAGTAGCATCGTTTCAAAGAAAAAAATTCTCGGGGATCGCCGGGTAATTAGCTCAGGTTCAGATCGTCCATGGAAAATACAGGATACAAATAATCATCAAAGCCTTTATTGAACGGTTGCAGGGACGTCGCCTCAAGAACGATTGAGGGAGATCGTTCCATTTCTCCACTACCTATGTGTGAAAAAGGCAGAACAAAGTTTCAGTCTGGACATTTTTGTGTGTAGTTTCACCGAGTGACCATGAAGATTGGAAGCAGGATGCCACTGAAACATGTCCTCAAAGCTAAGTCCACGCTCAAAGCGATGTATTATCTTGCGAACCAGGATACGATCACCGCTTTCCTGCCTGTAACACAGAGGGAATAAATTAAGGCAATTAAGTCTTTCTATGTATGGCTGGCTTTTTAGACCGTTCTTCAGCTCTGTTGCACGACGTTGAACTCTTTCGAGGCCTGTTTGGCCCTTTACTAGCCATGGCTGCCACGCTTGTACGCCATATTCTAAATAAGACCGAACAAAGGTACCGTAAACGCTTCCGAAAAGGTCTTTGTCAAAAGTTTCGGACGCCTCTTTGATTGTATGGAGCACTCAGCCTTGTCGCATAGCCGTGTTGGTTTCATGTTGCTCGGTATCCAAACAGCGAGATCCTTCTGCGAAGATTCTGTGGGAAGAATAATGCCTTCCAGGTAATTTGTCCTCAGACTCCCATTTGAATGACAGTTGGTTGGACGCAGATGAAGGACGGCACACACTACACATTAAAATCTAGAAGCCATTTCTCGGGCCACGCTTGCAGTCGGTGCAGATTGTTCTGAAGGGATCTCTGGTCATTTGGACCCTTAATGACTTGACAGAGCTTCACGTCGTCGGCAAATATTATTTTACCACAGTCGAGTTCCTGATGACTGTCAGTAACATAAAGGATGAAGAGTTATTGTCCCAGAACTGAGCCTTGAGGCACACCAATAGTCCCGTTACCCAATCGGACGTTTCGTCTCCGATACAGACTAGCTGTTTCCGACCAACCAGAAACGCCCTTATCCAGTTCAGATGATCTCCCCGGGGTGCCGATGACGTCCGATTTGTGAAGAAGGCGTTGGTGCGGGACAGCGTTGAATGCTCTGAGGAAATCAATGTACGCAACATGGACCTCAAAACCCTCTCCTAAAGCCCAGGTCCAAACCTCCAGACAAGCTAGCAGATTGGAGAGGCAGGAACGTCCTCTCCGGAAGCCATGTTGAAAGTCCTGCAAGATGTCATTCTCGTCATAAATCTGCTGTATAGCACTCTTTACGAGAGCTTCCATCGTTTTGCAGGAGAGACAAGCTAAGTTAATAGGCCTGAAGCAGCTTGC